GGGGCGTGTTTAAGATATAATATGATGAACCGGAATCGCCAAATGAGGGGGCGTGTTTAAGATATATATATATATGATGAGACCCAATCGCCAGATGAGGTGGTTTGGTGTTAGTTGTTCTTGCTTTTTGGTCCCGGAATCGCCAAACGAGGGGGGACGCGTGTAAGGAGTCGCCAAATGAGGGGGGTGCTGATGATATATGATGAACTGGAATCGCCAAATGAGGGGGGCGTGTTTAAGATCGATTTAAGATATATGATGAACCGGAATCGCCAAAAAGAGGGGTCGCGTTCAAGATATATGATGAACCGAAATCGCCAACGGGGGGGGTGTTTAAGATAGATGATGTGTCCGAATCGCCAAATGGGGAGGGGGGAGGGTGTTCAAGATAAATGATGAACTGGAATCGCCAAATGAGGGGGCATGTTTAAGATATCTGATACTTCCGGAGTTGCACGAGGGGGCGTGTTCATCTTTTTTTGACATATATGATGAACCGGAATCAGTCTGTGTTGCCAAATGAGGAGGTGCGTTGAAGATATTTGACACATCCGGAATTGCAAATTGTTTTCTTTGGGCTGTGTGTTGCTTGTTAGATTTTCGTTGCTTTAAATTTCACTAGCTTATCGCCAAATGAGGGGCGTGTTTAAGATGTATGATGAATCCGAATCGCCGAATGAGTGGGCGTGTTTAAGATACATGGACATGAAAGCGCGAATTTAAGGTACGTGATAAAGCTGAATGGCCAACGGATGGGGCGTGTTTAGGATATATGAAGAACCGGCAGAAACGGTGTCTAAGATATATGAGAACCGGAATCGCCAAATGAGGGGGCGTGTTTAATCCGAGCACTTGAATAGTAGGGGGGCGCCCCCCCCAAGAATTAAAATTGAGACGTCGCATTGATAGAAAACCGTCTCTTGGGTGCTGTGAAGGGTTTAGGGTTTAGGGATTAGAGCTGTGAAGCCCTGGACCCTAAAACTACAGATCTCGAAGCAGCTCCAGATGCAAAAATGGCATCCGAATCGCAGGTGCAGTGGGTCTGAAGCTTGCACTCCCTGAAATGTTGAAGCTCCGAATTTTTTTCAGATGTAGTACCTTTTCCCCAGACGAAATCCCTCCGCCTTCTAAACTCCTCTTCAGACCCACTTCCGGCCCGGAAAATTTTCTTTACATGTGGACCCTTTCATGAATCAAGTGCTCGGATTAAGACATAGTGAACCGGAATCGCCAAATGAGGGGACGTGTTTAGGATACAGTTAAGATATATGAGCAATCCGAACCGCCAAATGAGGAGGCATGTTGAAGAGATATGATACATCCGGAGTTGCAGTTGGTTTCTATGGGTTTTGTGTCATTTGTTCTTTGTCCCAACACCTTGAAGGCTAAGTGGCCAAGTGACCCATGAAAAAAGGGGTATGTGACCCAAAGCCGTGCGGATCCGAAGTGGCTAAGTGACCCGGAACAACATTGCTACGTTCGCGGGCCCCCTGCATGAGCTCCGTGTGGCACAAAAAGGTGCTGCTGGCCGCAGCTGGATTTGTAACGGCTGTTGCTACTTTCTGGCCAGTGCCTTAGTAAGCCTCAGAAGATTCGGCTGGGGGGACTGCAGCGAGTAGCTCGACTCCACTGCGTATCCCGTCCAGAACCCCCACAGGGAGGATGTCAATGGCAAATATTGAAGAGTTTGACGGCGTGAGTGATGCCTCATGTGATGAGGCTGACGTGCATCCGCAGCAGGACATCAGCTGTTCTGTATGGTGTAATTCGTGGTACAACCACAGGTGCCCTAAACGCAGTTCACGACGGGGTTGTCCCATCGTGCTTCCGGATCTTCCGGATCGGCCATGCTGTTTGGCCAGGTGTGTTCCAGAGCCTTCTCAGTGCCGGGCTTGCATTCACTGCTCTCGGAGTGCGCCAGCCGCTCACATTTCCTCATCGAAGTTTCGTATGGGATATCTTTGCGGAATGCACATGTGTGGCGAGGGCGGGAGGAGATTGGCCGTGTTCTTGGGTACAACCAGTTGTGTACGTGGCAGCCTCGATCCAAGAGTCATGCACTCAAGTGTCTCAGAGGGGACTCCACCTGCAACATCCGCAGCGAAGTGGGCTTTCAAGTCTGATGGGTCACAGGTTGACGTCAATCGCGTCGCATTGCACGCAAGGTTGGTCGGCACTGGAGTCGGTCCTTTCTGGTATGGTCGGTAGCTGAAACTGTTGAGCTGTGCTCATGCTGTGCCCACATAACCTGGTAGTTGGAGGCACCTTTCGGGACGTCTTTGGTGCATTTCGATTCGGCCTTCTCTTGTCGGCGCTGCACCGGGCTTAGCATGGCTTAGCGGCTTAGCTTGTGCCGATTTGTCAACATGAGACCCTCAAAGCCGTCTCGAAAGTCAAGGCCTCCTTTGATGCTCGGGATCTTCTTTGCTTCACAGGCGCATAGATTGGCATAGATGCTAGGGTAGCGGATCTGCCGGTCTTTGTGTCATTCTTCTCTTCCGTGGTGCCCTCCATGGAGGCATGTGCAGAACTTCCAGCGAAAGGCAATTGCTTCAGGGAGAAGTCAGCATGTTTGCCTTAGTTTGGTGTGCAGGGCACAGGAAGCCTGCAGTGAGCGACTCAGCTTGGCACGAGCAAGCTCTGCCAAGTGAGTTCTGCATTTCCCCGCCAGTCATCTAGTTCGCCGATCCCTTTCGTCAACTGTAAGAATACCTGCGCCGGTACGGAGGAACTGCAGTTTCTGGCCGTTCTTGTGTAGTTGATGTGCACCTTGCAGCAATGCCAATGCGAGGAAGAGGCAACATCACCAAATTACCAGGAGAATGTTGTGTCATCATCTCAGTTGTGGCAGGGTGTCCTTTTCTCCAACATGTCGTGGCAATCTTAGCTGCCAAGATCCACGGTGACTTTGCACTTGCGTGGCCGCATGTTTTCTCTCCCTGGACAACCCTGGGTCGAGCCTTCTTTCAACATGTCTTCCCTGATGTTCCACGGCATGGTGCAGTCAATATGCCGCTTCAGAACTGCAATACTTTGCTCAACGGACCTCGTGTTTCCCATTTCCATGGAAAAGCGAGCATCGGAATCCCTAAGCCCATGCCTGCGCTAATTCGGGCAAAGAGGCAGCAAGCAAGAGGTCTGGAGTGTTGATCCGTCTGTTTTGCTCAGCTGTTCGTTGTCCTTTACTGCACGCTTGGTTTCTTGCTAGCTCCATGGATTTGAAGACGGCTTTTTGCTGACACCTCCATATAGTGGAAGCAGCTTGTCCAGCCAAACATGTCGCTGTGTTTCCCCCTCGCTGGATTCAGGGCATTACCAGACCAGGCCGAGAATGCAGGGACCAGACTGACGACGAGGAACATGCTTTCTTGAATGTTGTGACATGCGTGGCATCGGGACCGTGTGGAGGGCGCAAGCTTGCAATCTTGCGATAGTTATGTTAAGTGTTGCAGGTTGGCTCTGCTTATGTTGCTGCAGATGTAGAGCTTGCCTAATACCACGGAGGGACACTTGCTTCTGCTTCTGATATTTACTCTGTTGCAAGCAGATGCTGCAGACAGGCAGCATGCCAGTTTTTGCCTCCTGGTTCTTTGGACATGGAACGCTGTACTCCTTGTGGTCCGAGATCAGGACACATCGGCCCACCATAGTGTTGCAATCCTGTCATGTTGCCACATCTGTACAATCACTGTTAAGTATGTCCGGCTGACGATCCCGTCCAACACCGCGTGTTAGGCGCTTCGAAAATATCGATCCACAAAGCACACAGCACCCTCCGACCCCACAGAAAGATTTCGGGGTGGGGCGACAAAACATCCACACTTCTTCACCCTGCCCATCATTCCACAGGGGGTGCGAATGCCTGCTTTCGAATCTTCGGAGATCTTGTTGCAGTTTGCTGTCCGAGATTTCACAGGGAGGCTGCTTCTTTCATTGTTTTGCACTCGCACAACTGCTGCTGCATAAGATGAAGCTATCAGTCCTCACGGCCCTTCAGGATTCTACTGCTTGTGTCCGATGCGATTGTACATCTCTAGCGGCAGAATGCTCGCTTCCAAACTGCCGAAGAGGGGCCTCAAATGTCAATCTCGTTCTATATACATTCTCCCACTGCTAGCGGTAGCATCCTTAGCCGTGGTATGTTCGCAAATCAAGTCCTCAAACAAGTTGAGGCTCGGATACGGTGAGGGCAGGTGATCTGAGAGCAAGCACAAAGAGGCACAGGGCAGGGAAGCTAGGATTCCTAGGATATGGCAGGACCACCTTCTCTTGTTTAGCTGGGCTCAAAGACTGAGTGCCTCCACGAGGGCGCCAGCTGGACCAGGTAGGGGAAGCCTGGTACAAAACCTCAGTCTCGATAGTCGAGCCATGTCACCTTCTCCTGGGGCATTGCTAGTGAGCTTCTTTGCAAAGGCGGATCGGTGGCCAGATTCTCCGCTGGCGATCGAAAGTGTCCTGTCAGACGCATGTGGGATCAAGCAAAGTCTGGACTGGACATTGGGTGCCCAGCTTGTTGCTGGGATGCAGGATAGCCCATACAAGCATGAATCCTGGCAGTGCATGGGTTGCACAAGGCCAGCGGCGCAAAGTGATCAGTGTTCCAGTAGGTCACCTGTGCCACCCACCGAAATTCATGATGCAGGGGAGAAGCCTCCCATCCACTGTGAAGAAGCGTGCAATGACCCCTCCAGGGCCGATGTGCTTTGGAAAGGTGCCTCGATTGATGAGCCAGTGACTGGTCCCTCAGTGTCTCCCGTGATTGCAGGACCCAGTCGTAGTGATGTTAGTTCAGACATGTCTCTCAGTACTGTCGGTGTTCAGAATTATAATCGCAGAGCCAGCGTCAGAAGGGCTGCCAAAGCCAAGTGGATTGGTGGTCAGCGGCGAGCTTGGGCGCGCCGTTGCACAAGGTGGCGGCCCAAACGACGACGACGAGAGACAGCGAGTGTTCGACGACGCGCACGCCGAGCGCGCAGACAGGCTCTAGGTCACAGAGACAGGCAAACCGTAGGCCAATCAACCCCAGGTGCATTCGCGAACCCAGCATGCTTGCAAAAGTCGGGCAATGCCTATGTTGATGAATCCTGCATGTGTGAGTGCTTTGCATGCCTTGATTGGGTGCGGGTCGGTCTTACCGATTTGCTTTCTGGCCCTACTGCGAGGTGGAGTGGACGACCAACTGCTGGTGTTCGCTTCGGAGAGGCGAGTCACCCAGGACCTGCCGGTACTCCCCTCCCCGACCTCCTAGGTGGTTTAGGCCCGGGTTTGATTGACTCCCTAAAGGGCATGATAGTTCAGCTCGTGCAGCAAGCCGTGCAGCAGTCCCTGGCACAGGCAGGCCTTGCCACAGCCCCAAGTACCTCTCCTAGGAATGCGCGTAAGAAGAAAGCCCAGCTCAAGAAAGCTGCACTCCGCAAAGTTATTGCTGGGGGCTCAGGGCGATCAGCTACACAGGCCCCGTCAGCACCTCCAAGTGATTCTGCAGCTGCCCAGGATCAGGGCAAGGGAAAGGGCAAAGGCGTTTCCCAGGTTCCCACCGCGAAAGGGAACGGCAAAGGCCCCAAAGCAACAGCCGCTGCTGAGGATGAGTGGACCCTCGTTGCCACCCGCCGTGACACTCAGGCCGAGGTTGAGTTGCGACAGCAGGACTGGGAAGCCACCATTATCAAGTACAGTCATCTTGCTTCCAAGTTTGAGGCGAGCACTGATGTTGTCTTCAGGGCTGTCGTCCAATGCATGCCGAACCAAGTTGAGACAGCCAAAAATCTGTTGCAAGCATCGGGTAGGCAGCACAGTGTTCTTTTGATTGAGTTCGCCAAGGACCGCAAGCCAACAGAGCGAAAGGGCGATTCGAGCGCCAATGCCCGGCAAAGGGTACCGGTCAAGGCGGGCAACTTCGTCCGGTTCCTAGATGCCTTTGTCCATCAGGTCACCACTGCTGGGATTGACGTGTCTCGGCCCAAAGGACTCACGACGGCACCCAAAGTCACTCCCAAAGATGCCACGGTCCTTTATGTGAAAGTCCCTCAAGAGTTCATTGCTGCTGATGCTTGGAAAAGGTTTAGCTCGTCCCCTCGGACGCAAGTTGCGCAGTGGGCGGCAGCTCAAAGGGTTCAGCTCATTGATACGTTCAAGTGGACAGAGGAGCTTGCGCCAGGCAACAGGAGACAGATTTTTGGAGTCATCAAGGTCGCCACTGCCGATGCTGCTTCCTTGCTGGCACAATCAGGATCGGGCGGCATCTTGGTCCAGGCCCCAAGAGAGAAGTCCACCAATCAGTATGTGCAATGGATTGATAGAACCAAAGATGAACCAAGTGCGGTTTACCTTGCCCGTGCGATGCGATCCTCTGGTGCCTTGGGACTTGTATGTCGTGGTCAACAGTTGGGCAGTAGACATCATGCAGATGCTAAGACCCTCGTGCAGCGTATTTGGATCCTTGAGGGGGTCCCACGTGCAATTGACATGGACCAGGCCAGGACCATTTTGGAGCCCCAGTTCAGCGAGTTGAGCATCATACGACAAGTGCACAAGGGCAGCACCAAAAACTTAATTTTCCGTGGTGCCTGCACCTGCGGTAATGAGGTTGACTTGCTCCCGATTGCGATTGACCTTGATGACGGCCAGATTGTTGCATGGGCCAAGTTGGCACCCCCGCGAGAGGCTGCAGTTAAGCAGCGCACAATCCACGGAGCATCAATACCATTCGTTGCCAAAAAGAGTGCTCTGGACCCGGTGCCGGTTACGATTACTCTTCCTGATGCTAAGGAGCCCGATGATGCAAGTGCCCAGGCTGCCACCGCCGCGCAGCCAGGTGACAACAAAGCAACGCCAAAGGCTCAATCGGCGCCAAAACGGCAGAAAGCTCTCCAGAGGCAACCTCCGGTTGGTACCCGACTCGAGGCTCAAGACAAGCCTGCACAGCCCAATCGCTTAATTATACGTCTCTCGCGCGCTTGGAGGATTCTCGCGCACAACCATGATTCTCGCGGGCCCCAACATGCAGCGTAAGTCCCTCGCGCGGGGTCATAAGTACCTCGGTCGTTTCCGAATTCTGCAGGGCCTTTGAGGTCCAATTCTGCTCAAGTTAGCCGGCCGCTGCCAGTGCACGGATGGTATTCGTGCAGTAAGTGTGCTAGTTGGATGGAAGGCGAAGCAGTGTTAAGGCAGAGCATTCAGTCCGAAGCTGTCCAGAAGCTTATGGTTGCACTGATTGCGCACAGGTTTTGCACATATGTCCCGAATTTTTGACCCAGGGACATGTGTTGGGCGATCGGAAAACAAAAAATGCTGGATTCATGGGTCCTAGACTCCCATATCTAGGACCCATGAACCCGGCACCCTAAGCCCTAATCCCGAACACCTTGTA